CGGCGGCGCCCGTTTCCCGGTCGGGACGAACCCTGACGCGGACACCTGTGGTGGATGTTTAGGTGTCTTCGAGGGGGGGTTGTTTCGTGATGCAGAACAGCTGGTATCCGGGTGAAATTAGCTCCGAACGGCTTGAAGTTTGCGTGTGGAACAGATTTTAAACCGTAGCGTGTTAAATATTGTTCACGAAGTTGCTTGAGGCAATTTGGGGTCGAACAGCACCGCCGGGGGGGTCGGGACGGGCCGGCGGGCAGTTTGTCGAGAAACCCGGGGATGCTGCACTTTTGTCCCCTGGTCTATGTGCTTTTTTTTTCTTCTTGTCCAACGCGTTTTCTGCAACGTTTACTTCGTTTCTCTCAACCGGCGTCTCGTGGGGGTTGAGTTGTGGGTGTAAATTGTTCATTTAACTGTAGCAGATTTTTTCGGAATTTTCTGCCGTACAAGCCGAAAAAGGGGGGAAAGTACCCCATGTCTGGACAGGCATANGTCCATAGGTATTCGATTGCCGCATTTTTTTTTTTGAGTCCGAGTAGTACGCATACAAGTCATTAGTTCATCAAATTACTACGTTTGCATGGTTTCAAGGCAAGAGAACACGCAGTACCACCCAAAAGGGGTATATTCCGTTCCTCAAAACTGGGCCGAAAAACCGGGGATATGGGCATTTTGTCCCCGGGTGTGCACCGATTTTTTTTTTTTTTGTATCGAACATACGTCATACTAAGAGCCTGTGTACCAAATTTCAGGTCGTGGAACGCTTTAGAACGTGCGTATCCGGCCACTACCGGAAAGTGGTCCTTAATACCCCCCCCGGACGGTTCCCTCGGACTCTTGGGATATTTTGGATGTACCGGGGTAGCGACGGGCAGAGTCCCGCGAATACAGGTGAAACGCGGATGTCTTTTTCGTTACGTCCAAAGAGGAGGGCCGGGTGCTTTCAAAAACGAAGGAAAGGAACACCAGAGCAGAGGGGTAATCATTGCGGCAGCATGACACGCCCGTACACTGACTGTTTTTAGCCCTTACTCGGCTTCGTCCTACGAAAAGCCCAAGACGCCTCGTTACATACCAAATGCCGCCAACCAAGTGGACACACCTCCCCCAACACGCTTACCGTGCCTTGTCTATGGCTGCCCAAGCCTGTATATAGTCTAGAGCACATGCTAACCTCGGCCGGCCAGTCTTTCCTGTCTTGCTCTCTCCATCAACGCAGCCTGAACGGTGATTCCATGTCCTGCTCGTCAGCCAAAAACATGAGTACTAGTTAGTACTTTTGGTCTCTGCCAGAACCCTGCCTACCGACCTGCAATTTACTCTTTTCCATTCAGTAGACTTTCTTTTTCTTTCTTTTTTCTCTTTGCTTCATTCACTTCAAATCAGCGCTCACGGCACTAGTGCCGTCTACTCCAACCCGTGGTCACAAAGAAGAGCCCCTCTCTACCCTCCCCTCCTGCGGTACTTTGCCTTCGATTTTTAATGCGAGAAGAGTTCAGCACTCTCTTCCCTCTGTGTAGACACACGAATTAGCGCTATCCACTAGGCCAGGAGCGGACGCGAGAGAACAACTCACTTTGCAAGAACAGCTCGCTTACGCCGGGATTCGAACCCCTAACCTGACCTCTAGAAGGTTTCGAGGTTACCAACTAGACCACCGGGGCGACCGGCGACTACTCCATCGTAAATGGTCCTGCCTACTGGGTTGGCGGCTAAAGCCAAAACGACAAATGCTGTGGCTCTGTCCGCGTGTCTCCTCTCCGTACCCTCTGGCTTCCTTGTTCATCTATCTGACCGTCCTACCCTTCTCCACGTCTGCTTGTCTCGCTTTCCTACATTTGGATACTTCCTGGGCGACAGTCCATTTCATTTTTCTTTTTATCCATCTTCGTGTTCTTTACTTGATTATTAAACTTAGTATTTCATTTACCCCACCGCATGTCTTCGGCATGCTCGGTCCCGGCTTCCGTAGGGATGTGAGGTCCATGGCCAAACGACTAATGTACAGAATGCACGGCTAGGAGTACACCGTATGCCTTTCGTGACGCGCCTACTCCAACAAACTACTGCCGACACATCCATCTTTGCTATCAACCCCTCTCCCCCGAGGCCAGTTCAACACTTCCCCGTGGAACCGAGCTTTCTGTGGGAAAGAAGTCTTTACCTGTCGGGCACCGATCGATCGTATCAGCCCCCCTCTCCCTGGCCCGGTTGAATGGTTCAACGCGAACAGATTTTTCTTTGGAAATATATATCGTTATTCCTATCACCGATCAGCACTGGTGAGGGCTTCGTGTGGCAAGACCAATATTTTCTTGGGTAGTAACCAAAACTCATATCTTCCGTCCAGACCACCAAAGCGACCACGCCACGTATGACGCCTAAAAATCTCGACGGCAAAGACGAACTCGTCGCCTGTCATTCACCTTGGGCAACGCCCGGGGAAGGGGGCTCTCCACGTCACCCTCTATTCTGTCCCTGAACAGGACTACGTCGTCATCTGACTCCGCTAGCCACCCGGCCCTGATCCTGTACGCGCTCGTTTTCGGGTAACTACGCCTTGCAAAAAAAACACTCTCCGACAGATGTACCAACTCCTCCAGCATCTTTCCCTCTGACTCTGGCTCAAGAGATGCCCAATTGTTGAACAAACAAGAAAAAAGCGGACGAGGAACGACACGATAGAGAGACAAAGAGACATCAACCGCGAACCCGAAACATCGCCTTGACAAACAAAATGTACTCGGACACCGACATGTTTTTGGGCATGCCATTGATAGTGGCGATGGCACGCTTGATGTCTTTGTCGGGGGCCCGGAAGCCCGTGCCCTTTCCATCGACGAGAACCTTCTTTAGCTGGATGTAGTTGTCGAGCTGCCTCATGAAGCAGATTCTGTTATCGCGAGGGAACTCCGTCACAAGCGTCGGTGGTCTCCTCTAGATCGTCGCGTCGACGTCACCCCGGACCGTGTTCCTGATAGTCAACTCCCAGTACGTCTTGTCGCAGTACCCGTGAGGTATGGTTAAGTTGGTCGATTATTGCCATCGCCTTTTTGACAAGGGAAGGTAACCCTGCATGAGACCCCGAGTCCAAGCCTTAACGTCTGCATCACGGCAACCCTTCCGGCCATTCCAAGCCCTTACGTCTGTATCACGGTTCCCCTTCCGACCATTCACCTCGTGACGAGACAGCGCGGGCGAGAGAAATCAACCGCGAACCCTCAGCATCTCCTTGAAAAACACAGTGTACTGGACACCGACATGGGGGGGGCAGCCGCGTCGGCGATGGCACTCTCGACCTCTCCGGTCGTGTCCGGGAAATCCCCGCGCTCTTATCTACGAATGCCTTCTTCAGCGCGACGTACTTCGTCTCCCGCCTCCCGATCTTGGCGGTTTTGGAGACAATACGCCTGCTTTTAGCGAGCGGCGTCTTACGAAGTCCAGCCACCTCGAGGCCCCCGGTCCGTGTCCCTGAACACCATTCCATTGTCATCCTCTTCGCGAAACCCGTCGGGTACGGCACAAATTCGGTAGTCGTATAGTCCAGCCGATCGCCCCGGTGGTCTCGTTAGTATCCTCGAAACTTTCCAGAGGTCAGGCCACGGCTTCGAATCCCGCCGTAAGACAGCTTTTCTTGCGAAGTGAGTTTTTCTCTCGCTTCCGCTCCTGACCTAGTGGATAGCGCTAGTAGTTCGTGTGTACACAGAGGGAAGAGAGTGCTTAACTCTTCTCACATTAAAATCGAAGGCAACGTACCGCAGAAGGGGAGGGTAGCGAGGGGGCTCTGTAATGTGACCACGGGTTGGAGTAAACGGCATTGGTTCTGTGAGCGCTGATTTGAAGTGAATACAAAAATGAAAAAAATAGTCCGCTTTGTTGTGGAGAAGGCATTGTCGTGGCCGTTCTTGTTGTGAGTGCCCATGAGGCCCCGAGCCCAATTCGCAACTCCCTCATCACAGATATTACCCCGGTCATGCACCCATCGACGAGACGATGCGGGCAACAGACAAAGCCCGAAGAAAAATACAAGAAACACATCTAGCGGTGGATAAATAGGTATTGGGATCTTGGCGCATGCGGCAAAGACAACGGAGACACTCACATTCTCATCGATCACGGTCTCCGCGTCCTCGTCGGAAAGCTCTCCGCCCTCCTCCTCTTCCTCCTCGTCCTCTTTCTCTTCCCCCGCCTCCCGTTCCTCCTCGTCCTCCTTCAAAATCATAAGTGCGTGGGTGGGCGTGGGGGACGGGAGGGAGAGGGACTGGAGAGAGAAGCTGTAACTTGTCGCCAAACATACTCGAACTCTCGAATTTCCTGTGGAAGTGCCTCGCTACTGTCGAGACATCGTTACTGTCGCCCCCTCACTTCCTGGCAAACTCTTTGGACGATCCGACGGTTACTATCACATGACTCTGGGAACATGCAATTCATACACCGATCCTCTACAGTATTTCTTTCAGATCACCTCGCGTAAAATACCTCGATCAACAATGTCTTTCAGATCACCTCGGGCAAAAATATCCCGATCACCGACGTCTTTCAGATCACCCCGGGGAAGAAAATGCTGCCTTCCAAAAGATTACCACAAGGTGCAGCCGAACGCTATAGTCTATTCTGTATTGGTGTGTGTGGTGTAATCTTGTATAGCCCAGGAGGTGACGTGCAGGTTGCGGGAGCCATGAAGAGGGTGTGACAACCAGGGTGTGTGATATGGCTGCCACAAACTTGCAGGGACCGCGGAGGTGTGGAGACTAGGGGGTGTGTTAGCACAACCTGCAAAGAAGTACTGCCAAACGTGCAGGGGGCATTGCACGGAGGGTGGGGATCGGAAAAAACTACTCCTCCAATTCACGGAGAAGTTTGCACGGGTTGAACGGCAGTCGGAACAGCTGCCGAAGCAGCAGAGGGAGCTGCTACGGGATAATGTTCTCCCTGCACGGGGTGTTTCCCCCGCACTCAGAGGGTGCGTTGCGTGTGTTCCCTGCTGGGCCATCCTTGTGTCATGAGGGATCTGCTGTGTCATTCCCGGGGTTATAGAATCAGGGGCTCCGTGCTATGCGTAGCCTCAGCGAGGTATGATATCTAGTGTGCCCCGGGTGGTCTGGGGTTGAAAGTCCCACATACAGCAACAGAAGAGGTCACAACGGGGGTCCGTGAAACTCCATGGTACCTCGCGTGCGCGCCCACGATGTATTGCCCTATGATTCCATCTTGCCAACACGATTATCACCGCTATGTTCCCAACACAGGCAGCTACGTGTAGAAAATAGCAGGAGACCGCACGTTTGTTCTAAACGGGCAGACATTTGATACACCATGGTTTTCGCTCCGAACTTGGCAAATGCCGTACAGTGCTGGCTATGATTCAAGAGAAGGCGCGATAAGCAGAAATCCTTTTGTTCGATCCCACTCACTTCCTCTTATTCCGTTTACGGAGAATTTTCAACGATAATAATTTTAACTTCTATCGTAGCCTGTTCTCAAGGGCCGGTTGGAGCAGGGGTCCTTCAAAAACGGATGTCAGAGCTACATCATGAGCGCCCTCTACACCATATGCGTCATGCTGCGGCAACGACAAAGCGTTGTTTTCACTCAACGCACCGTTCGATACATTTTATGTAGACTGAATGAGGCGTGAACGCGAAGCGCGACATATTTTCGCTTCATCCCAGGAGGGAAAAAATAGGCTCTAATTGTCGGGATTTCCCAATCAACGCGATGGAGGGACCCTCCTGCAATTTCCGCCTGACTGTTGCATGTAAAAAACTAACGTCTTTGTTTGACCAGAACAAGGTATACAGAGCACCGGTTTACGAATTGCCGGCTTGTGATGAGGAACCAAATTAAGAGAGGAAAATCGCTTGGCACGACCAAAATCGTTTTGAGAGAAATTTGGCATTTTTCTGAGATTTGCTTGAGGCCACGTAGCACAACACCTTTGTGAACTCGAGGACATTGCCGAGAAGTGCGACATGCCAGAAGCGTCTTACCACCTCCGCAAGGCTAAGCTAGCTTGGATGAGCGCCCACGGGGCGGGGGCAACCAAGCAGACGTGTATCCAAGACTACTTTTAACGGTAGATGTAGTGCTGTGGCTGACAGGCTTCGAGGGGTGCTTTGATTTTCTGTGCCAAAATTGTTTTATAGCGCGTGCGATATTTTCATGCAGTACTACTACTGCTGTACGTGATGTTAGAGCGTGTTTCGCGTGTTTGTTCCATGGCTCGTTTTTGGCACGAAGGCTGTGGGTGGTGTGTGTTCATGCGTGAAGGGGATGGGTGGGGTACGAGCGGTTCGTTCAGTACGTGCGTCGGTAGATTTTTCCTTGGGTGCTGGTGCATCCATGGGCTCGCGTTGTAATTCGAGTTGAGATTCGAGTACAGTGTGCAGCACAACGCAAGCAACAAATACTTCTATATTGTTTTTCCACGCGCACTAAGTACGCCACACGACGACATGATACTTAGGGCCGTTTTAAACGGACCGACTTTTTTGTCGAAATTTTCGACATTTGTCTTTAAACTTGGAACCTGTGTGCAGTTATTTTAAACGTGTGACGTAGACTTGTGCAACTTGTGTAAAAAAAAATGACGCCGTCCGTGAGTTGTAGCGCTCACTTCGAGACAACACACACGACACAACACAAACCGCGGAAAACACGACATCATGGACACCGACATGGATATCACGACCACCCAGCGTGGCCGGCAGACCAAAACCCCGGCGAAATTCCAGCAGACGGGCTCTCTCGGTGCCGCCGTAGGCGGTGGAGGCTTGCTCTCCAGCAAGATAGTGCTGCTGCCTGGCATCTCGGGGAACACTCATGTTACCACGGGAGGCGCTGCCGCCACCAACACTC